CGATGGTTAAATTTGAGCTAACCTTCCCATTGAAAACGAATATCCAAAATTCCAACACTTAAAAGATGAATAAATATGAACATTTTCTCACGGATATAACAGCTAGGGATGTACTCATCCTTTTGTNAAAGCTGTATGTACATGTTTTGATCTTTCCTAGATCAAATATTAAACTAGGTGTAGTTTACTATTTTATTCAAAATTGATTGAGAGAGCGATAAATGTAAAAATAAAATTAAATTAGAGAACTATTTATTTGATAAATCTGTATGGATCACAGGGAGGATAATTACTTATCCTCCCTGTAAAGAGGGAGGATAAGTAATTATCCTCCCTGTAAATAGGGAGGATAAGTAATTATCCTCCCTGGAATTAAAAAAGGAGGGAATTTAAGGTTGGTTATTTCGTTAAACAGGAGATTAACTTAATATCCTTCAACTTAACCTAATATTCTTCAACTTTACTGTATATCATTTAACTTCACTGTATATCCTTCAGTTTTACTTCAACTTAACTTCATATGCTTCAACTTAATTTTACATCCTTCAACCTAACTCTATATCCTTCAACTTAACTTTATATCCTTCAACTTAACTTTATAAACTTCAACTTATCTTTATATCCTTCAACCTAACTTTACATCCTTCAACTTAACTTTTTATCCTTCAATTTAACTTTATATCCTTTAACCTAACTCTATGCCCTTCAACCTAACTCAATATCCTTCAACTTAACTTTATATCATTCAATTTAACTTTTTATCCTTCAACTCAATTTAATATTCTTTAACTTAACTTAATATCCTTCAACTTAACTTTATATCCTTTAACTTATCTTTATATCCTTCAAATTAATTTTATATCATTCAATTTAACTTTTTATCCTTCAATTTAACTTTACATCCTTCAACCTAACTCTATGCCCTTCAACCTAACTCTATATCCTTCAACTTAACTTTATATCATTCATTTTAACTTTTTATCCTTCAACTCAATTTAATATTCTTCAACTTAACTTAATATCCTTCAACTTAACTTTATATCCTTCAACTTATCTTTATATCCTTCATATTAATTTTATATCATTCATTTTAACTTTTTATCCTTCATTTTAACTTTATATCCTTAAACCTAACTCTATGCCCTTCAACCTAACTCAATATCCTTTAACTTAACTTTATATCCTTCAATTTAACTTTTTATCCTTCAACTTAACTTTATATTCTTCAATTCAACTTTATATCCTTCAACTTAACTTAATATCCTTCATCTCAACTTTATATTCTTCAACTTAACTTAATATCCTTCAACTTAACTTAATATCCTTCATCTCAACTTTATATCCTTCAACTTAACGCAATATCCTTCATCTCAATTTTATATCCTTCAACTTAACTTAATATCCTTCATCTAAACTTTATATCCTTCAACTTAACTTAATATCTTTAACCAAAACTTTAATTCAAAACTTTAACATAATCTTAATCGTATAGAAAAGTTAAGCCAAATGTTTATGGAGAATATTTTAGTTTGAATTAAATTTTGATGTCTTGTCAACTCTTTGAGATTTGAAATAGACATGTTTTCATCCTGAATACGAATTGAATCATTAATATACAAAACAATATGTCGAATACAGCCTCAGTTTAAAGCATTAAAATTCATGATAATTAAGATACTTTTATTTTGCTTTGTCTGAGTGAAAGTATTATATATAATAGGCGCATCTTCTATTTCAACTTTTGCAGGCGCGCAACTAAGGGGGGGGGGCAATGTGGGCAAGAAGTCCTTAACAGGGGTCCATATAGTTCCCAAAATAGCTAATTTTCTCGAAAATCTGGAGAAAAAAATTCCCCACAGTATCTTTTTTTAAAACCTACACTCTTTAAGTAAATTCAAATTGCACTATATCATTTTTCAATATAAGCTCAGATTCTTTTCATTTTTGCCCCCTTCCTTTAAAAAATCCCCCAATTTGGATTTTTTAAATTACACTCACACATTCCTATTCAAATTACCCCACCGGACTTTAATTTGCCCTCTTTTTTAGAATGCCACTAAATATTTATAATTTGCACCTAAATTAAGTTTTTTTATCCCCAAATGTTTAATAAATACAACCAACTTTAAACTTTACAGCCCTTTAAAAAAAATTCCCCTCATTTTTTTAGATAATGCTAAAAAAATTAGGAAGTTTTTCCCCCAACAAAAAAATAACCCTTGTTTTAAAAAAATTGCCCGTTTATTTAAAAAATGCCCTTAAATAATAAAATTTTACTCCAAAATAAAGATTTAAGGTTTCCCATAC